GTAAGTTAAAGTGACCAGTGATGATATAAAGTGACTTCTGTGATCAAAAAGTTTAAAGCAGTAAAAGAGCAGTATGATATGACGATCTAAACAATAACAGTGCAGTTATACAAAATAAAATAAAATATAATATAATATAATATAGTGCAAATCTGTCAGTATGTTTGTAGACTTTCATCCTGGCGGTGATCTCAGGGAAACATTTCTCCTCTAAATATGAGCAAGCATCACTGAGAGGACATTCTGTTGAGGACTTTGTTGTTTTTACAGATTTAAATGTCGTTCTTGTGTTTGCTTTGAGAGGTGCTCAAAACTTCCTCTAAACATGTCAGTGTTTGTGAGGATGTCAACATGTCAACATGTCGTTTTGTAGAGATGGTAAATGAAAAGCTCGCGCTGCAGCTCCACATAACGGTGGACGCTACTTACTTAGGCACGATCCTTTAGATCGCCCCCAGACCTCCAGAGTGAGTCATGTGACTAAACGCTCTGAAGGCCACGTTGTTGGTGGTGAATAAAATCTACTGCTGCTCTCTGATTGGTTGATTTATTCTACTCATTTCATTACATTCACACTCTTTGTTTCCCTCTCAGGTAAAATGAAAGGCTTGGCTTTCATCCAAGACCCTGACGGTTACTGGATCGAGATCCTGAGTCCCAACAACATGGTGTCCATAACCTCCTAAAGACTGTGACGACGCCGGCCGCTCTCGCTGCGTTGGCTTGGCTGGAAGAGCAGAACGCCGATTTGTTTAGCGAAACACATTTAGCAACGAGAACGTGAGAGATCAGTGGAAACGGAGCGCGATCTCTCGTGTGCAAAGGCACGGCCTGGACTTCTTATTGAACAAATAAGTTAAAAAAAAAAAGATTAGATACCTGAATTGTTGCTATGGATACGACTTCCTTTTTGTAGCTGCTGAGTTTGTCATCATTTTCAGTTTGTGTATAAAAAAAAGAGACGCTGAAATAAAGTGATATGACTTTATAAAGGTGACGGTCCCTGTTCATATGACTGAGTTTGTCTTTTGTTTCAGTTTTATGGGACAACGTAGAAAAAAAAAAAATTGATTGACCCTTTCTATCCTCGTTAATGAAATGTATTTGTAAGAAACACAATATGGCTAAATTTAAATCTCAAAAACAAAGATGTGCAAAGTCACAATTTTGAAAACTGCATGCAAACGCTTTCTAACTCGCAAAAGTAAATGTATTGGTAATTAAGTCCAATTCAAGTTAAGACTGCACAAGTTTCTGTTTGGACATTTTCATGAAAATAGCGAACTATGCAAAGAATTTTACAATTAAAAGTAGACTGTTGAGAACATTTTTTAGAACAGTTGATTTTAACTTGAGTCTCACCTCTGATTAGGCGAACAGCCAATCGTAGGTAGTCATTCGATGTTTTCTGGGGCCGTCCAGCGTTTTTCAAACGTGATGGACTTCATCCAAACCACAGGGGCTCTCAGATGCTCGCCCAAAATATAGTACAGTGTATCTCTCCATGACCTCTTACCCCTTCTACCACTTTTGATTTTATTAAAACCATCATCTCCACCCGTCACTTCTTAAATAGAACTACAAAGGGTCCAAACTTCAATAATCTGGTAAAAGTTCCCATAAACATAAATTCTATGTCCGCAAATAAATGTACAGAAATTAAAATGGCTCTTTCTAAATGTAAGGGCATTATCAAACAAATCATTTATTATTAACGACCTCATTAGTGATCAAAACCTGGATTGTATTTTCCTGACTGAAACCTGGCTGGGCACAGATGCACCCGCCACACTCCTAGAGGCTTGTCCACCCAGCTACACCTTTTCTTTTTCCTGCAGAGAGGGAAAGAGAGGTGGTGGAACAGCTGCTATCTATAAAGTAGGGACATAGATTTTGGAGAATTTTGTTCCTTTGAATACAATGCAACACTTTTAAAATGTAAGCCACATATTCTGGCAGTGACAGTATACAGAGCCCTCAACTTAGTTTTCTCCTCTTTCTTAACAGAGTTCTCTGATCTTTTATCTGTCGTTCACACAAGTTATGATGCTTGTATTTTAATCAGTGACTTTAATGTACATGTTGACAGTCTGGCAGATACCAGAGCCAAAGAGTTCTTAGAATTATTAGAATGTATGGGTTTTAAACAACATGTCAATACACCGACTCACCAACATGGACACACCCTCGATCTGATTATATCATATGGCCTAAACATTAATATTTCATCCATCACTGACCTAGCTCTGTCTGACCATCATTGTGTGTTTTTTAACAGTTTTGATCACTCTCCTCCAGGTGCAATAGAACGTACAGTTAACAAACGGCACATTACCCCAGAAGTAGCCACAACTCTTACATCACATCTTACAGCTTACATAAATACCACCTTACCATCATCCTGTGAACAACTTGTTACCGATTTTAATTATAAACTGAGGACAGTGCTTGATGCCTGCGCTCCAATCACAACAAAGACAGTAAATACAAAAAAGGCTGTTCCATGGAAAAACAATGCGACCAATGCACTTAAGAGAGACTGCAGAATTGCTGAACGCAGATGGCGAAAAACAAAAATAGAAATTGATAAAAATATACTCATAGAAGCAATAAAAGACTACAACAAAGCCATCCAAAAATCAAGGCACGAATATTTCTCAAACCTGATAAACAGCAACATTCACAACCCCAGACATCTTTTCAGAACAATAGATTCTCTGTTACACCCCACAACCAATAACAGTTCTGTGCTCTCAGGATCTAAATGTGAGGTTTTTGCTGGCTACTTCAGGGATAAAATAGTTGACATTAGGTCTGGTATCTGTCAGCAAAGCAAACACACCGCACTTTTTCCAGTATCATGTACAATCAGTGATGTCAAGTTGGAAAGTTTTGCCCTGGTTGATGCTGCAACACTCAGGACAGTGGTAACAGAAATGAAGCATCCACGTGTTCCCTTAACCCAATTCCAACATCCCTTTTTAAAACCATTTTTAGTATCAGTATCAGAAGATGTCCTCGACATAGTAAATCGCTCCTTACAGCTAGGTGTTGTCCCTACCGATTTTTAAGACTGCCTTAATTAAACCTCTTTTAAAAAAAGGGAACCTGGCTATTTTAACACCTAGTAATTTTAGACCCATCTCAAACCTGACATTTTTAAGCAAAATTTTAGAGAAGTTAGTTTTTAATCAGTTGAGTGCCTTTTTAACCTCAAACACTACATTAGAAATGTTTCAATCTGGCTTTAGGGCACGCCACAGCACTGAGACGGCCCTGCTAAAAGTAGTTAATGATATCAGAAAAAACCTCGACAACAACAAGCCTTCAGTTCTGGTACTACTCGACCTCAGTGCTGCTTTTGATACTGTTGACCACCAGAATCTTTTAGATAGACTAAGTGAGCATGTAGGCCTTTCTGGAAATGTTTTTAACTGGTTCACCTCGTATTTGTGTGACAGAAAATGTTTTGTATCGATAGAAGACTGCACCTCCAAACAATACGAGGTCTCCAGTGGGGTACCACAAGGATCAATTTTAGGACCATTACTTTTTAATCTGTACATGTTACCCCTGGGTGGTGTCATCAGGAGGCGCGGAATCTCTTTCCACAGCTATGCTGATGACACTCAGCTCTATGTGGCCGTGTCTCCTGATGACACCAGACAAATTGACTCACTTTTTAATTGTATTTTAGATATAAAAGTCTGAATGTCACAGAATGTTTTGCAGCTCAACCAGGACAAAACAGAGGTTTTAATCATCTGTTCAAAGGCTCAGAGAGAGAAACTGGCCCCCAAACTAAAAAAAATAGGACTCAACCCAAGTCAAGAAGCATGGAATCTTGGGGTGATCTTTTTGTCACAAAAACAGCATTTTACCACCTGAAAAACATCGCCAAAGTGAGGCCATTTCTCTCTCTGAGCCAAACAGAGAGACTAATGCACGCTTTTATTACTAGCAGGCTGGACTATTGTAACGCTCTCCTTTCTGGTCTTCCAAAAAACACAACAAATCGGCTTCAGCTACTACAAAACTCTGCCGCACGAGTACTGACAAAGACCTGAAGGAGAGCACACATCACACCTGTTTTAAAATCTTTACACTGGCTGCCTGTTAGTTTTCATGTTGATTTAAAAATTATTTTATTAGTTTATAAAGCATTACATGGCCTTGCACCAGACTACCTATCAGATATGATTTTAGGTTATGAACCAGTACGGCCCCTCAGATCCTCCAGTTCCTCTCTCTTAGTTGTTCCACAGAGCAGACAAAAACCTTTGGCGATTCTGCTTTCAGCTGTTACGCTCCGAGACTGTAGAACGACCTTCCTGAGGGTCTGAGAGGAGCCCAGAATATCGAGATTTTTAAATGCAGTCTTAAAACTCATTTATTCAGTCTGGCTTTTATATAGTGTTTTATATCAATTCAAACCTTAACATTACTGTATTGTCTTTTTATCCTATTACAATTTTAAATATTTTCCTCACATGTATTTATTTTAATATCTTGTTGCTTTTATGTGTTGTATTTTATTGTATTTTATTTTTATACATATATTTTATTTTTAATTCTTATTGGTGTGCATTAGTCTCTCAATGATTTTATCAATGATTTTATAAACTACTTTTTCATCAATAGCTTTTCTGCACTCTTGTAAAGCACTTTGAACTGCAATTTAATTTGTCTGAAAGGTGCTATATAAATAAAGTTTGATTGATTGATTGATAATAGCTTTGAGTAGTAAGTAGATTACACAAGCTCATGTGGATTTAACATTAACATTGATTTATAGGTTTTTATTTATTTTCTTATGTATTAATTATTAATATAATAATTATTACTATTTGTACATATGGATCATTTCTAAATACTTTGACACACTAGGTGGCGGTATGCACTTTTAAATTGGGATTGCAATCTGCCAAAAAAAAAAAAGAAGAAGCCGGAGAAGTCTTATTTTGAAGGCCAGACCGGAAGTACAGTTTGTGATTGAGGTTTTGATGACGTTTGTCGTGACTGCTGCTGCACCCACAACAAGCCTGTCACTTCACTCAGTCCCTGGTTATTACTCTGAGTTTTTATCAAACCATCACGACATCTGGACTCGGTTGATTCGGTGAGTCTTAAATAAAATAAAATAAGTAAATCAAGAAGCGTCAGAGTTTGTCAGTTAGTCGAAAACGTAAGAAATGAGCTACCCTTAGCTTAGCATGCTAGCTGTCAGAGCCCCCACTGCTAACTTTAACCTAAAGGAGTTTAAACAAAACAACATGTCAGGAACCTCTGACGGAGCTGAAGGTCAGATACGGCTCCTAACTCCTCAGATAAAGTTTTCAAATGAACTAATGTGCTTGTAAAGTGTTTAAAACATAACAAAGAGTTTGTGTGTTTGCAGATAAAGCACAGCTATGTGCAGCTGTGTGCGGGGCTCCAGGGCTCTGTCCCCTGTCCTTCTCCCCCGGCTGCTGCTGCCCCACACGGGGTACAGGTCAGCCAGCAGGGGCCTCTGGACTTCCCCCCACTGCATGACTGTGAGTGGAGACTCCCAGCCGCTGCCCCTGCCCAGCCAGGCCGGGTGGTCATTGTGGAGGAGGCATTGTGGGAACATCGGTCGGCATGTCGGCATGTCGGCTTGTCCTCCCCCCACGCTGTAAACCTCTGGGAAACACTGACTACTACATGTAGAAGGAGCTGTGCCATCTCATCTGAACGTCTTGACCGAGTCGATTTGTTGGCACTTGCAGTTTAAAGCGAGACTTAGTGCAAGTTAAGAAGGTTTAAAGTGGTGTTGACGTACTCGAAATAAATCTTGAAGGTCTCGGTCTCTGAATCAAAAGCATTTTTACTCAGTCTTGTCTCGGACTTAGACTGGACCGACTCTGGATTTTAAATCAAGAAGAGAATATTACTGTAAATATTATTTATCTTATTTTACCTCATTTTATTTTATCTATTTTATCTTATTTTACCTTATTTTGGTTGAATCGCACCGCGGGACAGAGACAAACATATTTTGATTCCACTGTATGTCTGGCATATTTTGGAATTGACAATAAAGTTGACTTTGACTTTTGACTTTGAAGACCACAGAGGAACGGTTATTTTTCCTTTACTTTGATTAGAAGGAAAACGTCTCTTTCTAAATTAATGAATTACTTCAATGCATGTGTAGTTAGTATTTTATTCCCCCCAGTTACGGCCGCTACCTTCCCGGTGTTACGCTCTTAGTGTGTTACACGCCTGCTGAACACAAGTGATATTTATGGTGTTGGTCCTGTCTCAGTCTCAGTCTTGCCCTCGGTCTTGACTCGGTCCCGATCCCTAAATGTCTCGGTCTCGGAGCACTCTGGTCTCGGGTATGTCTTGGTTTCAGTTAGTGTGGTCTTAACTACAACACTAGTTTAAAGTGCCCAACAAGCTCTCTTGATCTGTGACGTGGCTTGAGGCCGTTAGTCCGATATGTGATGTTTAAATTACGTCAAAACCAAACCTGATACTGATATTAGATCTGATCTGTCCCATCTCTAACTGTCTTATAGATAGTGGGTCGGTTTGATGTTTTATTTGTGGTTTGGAGTTTAATAAAGTGCTACGTGTTGATTGTCCTTGAGAAAGCCACTGAATCCCTCTCGTGTCCTGTGAGATTCCTTTGGGGGAGGGGAGGAAGGGTGGGCACAAATATAGATAGATTCTACCCTGAAGTCAGGAGAGGTTAAGTAGAAACAGATGACACTTTGATATTGTTGTACTAATCCTGTACTGCCTGTTCTTTTCTCTCCTGACAGACTCGGGGCAGGAACAACGAGACTGTGTGCTGGCATAGTCAGCGTGGCGAAGCCTATTTCCATTGAGTGTCAAATGGCAAACTACTCCAACAATCTTTACCAGCAGCTGGAGGAGGAGACTGGAGTGAAAACAGGTCAGACACCCTGACACCTTTTACCTTCACCAATCAAGACAGAAGCTTCTGTGTGACTCATGATGTTATTGCTACTGTAATAAATGAGCATGCCATAAACATTTAATTAAAATATTTTATCTGTTTTATTACCGGCCATTTTAACAGTAATAGAAATGTATAATATCAACATAAATGCAGAGGAGGAGAGAGAGAGGAGCACTTTCTCCTACATTGTAAAACATCTGATGAAACGAGGAAAGTTTATTTGAACAAGTTTAACTCTGTCATCGCAGATTTCAAGAGCTGAATAAGCTCTCAAAAATAAAAAATAGTCATGGGAGAAGAAGACAGGGCATATCTTGCTGCCTAATATGTTTCAACATGCCACAACCTTTGACTTGACCCTGTCTGTGAACGGGTGATAGAGATGATGGTTTTTTTTGTTTCAGGGTACATCAAGACGGGTTCTCTGTGTCTGGCCCAAAATCAGGATCGCTTTCTCTCTTTGAAACGTCTGGCGTCCAGACTAAGGTAAGATCCCAAAACCTCATGCACATGTTCAGAAGTGATCCATTTGAAGTTTTCCAGACAGGAGCTGTGAAACATAGAAATGATTCTGTTTTATGTTTTTTCTAATCTTTTAAAGGGTGATGGGGATCAGCTGTAACATCATTAAGCCTAAAGAGGTGGCTAAACTCCACCCTCTTGTGAACATCCATGATCTGGTGGGGGCGCTCCACCTTCCTGCAGATGCTGTGGTATCTCCTCCTGATGTCAACCACGCCCTGGCTGTGGCTGCTGCTGGACACGGTATGGACTCAAACGCACCACGGACTCTGATGGAACATTAACGGACCATTAAATGAAAGTGTTTTACGGGCAGTGCCCATGTTTGCCTCCTCCTTATGGACATCTCCTCCTTTTTCTTTCTCTTCTTGGCCTTCATCTACACCCCTTTGTCTTTCTCATCCCATCCAGGGGTTCAGATCTTGGACCGAACCAGTGTCCAGCAGGTTCTGGTGGAGAAGGGTCAAGTGATGGCGGTGGAAACTGACCGTGGCTCCATCGAGTGTGAATATTTTGTCAACTGTGCCGGACAGGTACAGTAAAATCTTTTGGGAAACATCCTTTGTTTTATTTGCTACTTCTTATTAATCTCCTGTGAGGAACTCTTGGTTTGAGTTAATTTGGGCGCCCCTTGTTGATGTGTCAGTCACTAAAGACGTTCTTGAAAATGTAAACAAAGGTTGGTTAGAAGCTTGTAGTGTCACGACCGGGCTCAAAGATTACAACAAAACAGGGAGACAACATGAGCTGGCAGTATATATATATATATATTTCTATAAATACAAGTATATTTATTTACATAAAACAAAAGCAGACTCATTAAAACGTGTCATCAGTCGAGTAGAGCAGGTGTGAGTGCATGTGAAGAACGTGTCGTAATCAGGGCTCCCATAGTCTTAATGCCAGAGCCAGCAGGCCAGAGAGGGAATAAGAGGTCTGGAAGGTCTGCACCGTGCCCAGGTACAGCTTATCTTTCTGATGAGCCTACAACGAGGACACACACACACACACACACACACACACACACACACACACACACACACACACACACACACACCCAGCAGCCTGGAGGGTGGGGTCGTCACAGCAGATAATGAAAACGTTTTTCAGTCTGTTTCATAAAAAGAGAAAAACTCCTCACAGGAGCTTTCATAGATTTACAGAATATAAATAAAAACATCAGGAGGACTTAGAGTACCGTAGTGGCTCAGGTGGTTTTCCTCACTGTAGTTGGTTTATATGTGACTCATCGTCCCGTGCTTTGTCTCTGCTTTAGTGGGCCTACGAGCTGGGCCAGGCGAGTGAGACCAAGGTGTCAGTTCCTCTTCATGGCTGTGAACACTTCTATCTCCTCACCAAACCCCTGCAGGGGTCCCTACCGCCCGGCATGCCAGGTCTCACACACACACACACACACACACACACACACACACACACACACTTCAATTTTCTGGCAGCAGGATGAATTCACATTCTGATCAGTTTCAAAAATGTTGACGTTCATGGAAATATGACGGCTGTAATCGTGTAAAACATCCACATAGAGTTACTCTTTGTAACAGTACTTAAGTAGTCTGCTACAATAGTCCCATCTGTGTATTTTACGTCTCATCTTTACAGTTATATGAAAGCGTTATAGTCACAGGCTGACTGTGAACAATCTCAGAACAGGCGATCTAACTGAAGCTGTGTCTCGTCTCCAGTGGTCATCGATATGGACGGAAGGATATACGTACGGCCATGGCAGGGAGGCCTTCTGTCCGGGGGCTTTGAGAAGAACCCCAAGCCCATTTTCACTGAGGGCCGGAACCAGCTGGAGATCCAGAACATGCAGGAGGACTGGGACCACTTTGGTAATGAGAGGGGGGGGGGAGAAAACGTCAAACAAATCTGTTCCTCGCACAGTGACTTTGTCAGTGGGTGTTGTTGTAGTTTTCTTAGTGACTCATTTCTGAGCTGTTTTTTTCCTAAGATTAATTTTTTGTGCTTTTCATACCTTTATTGGAAAAGGACTGTGAACAGAACGGAGAGGGGGGGATGACACGGAGCCACAGGTCACACTAGAACTGGGTCGCCCGCATCCTCTGTACAAGGATCAAATTAACCGCTAGGCCACTGGTGCCCCAAATTTAGCACAAGTGGGCCACATGGGGCATGACGGTTTTGTCCAGCACCCCATGTGTGGAGGCTGTAGTCCTTGTTGCAGAAGTCAACATGGCCGATCCAGGAGTAACTTTGTTTTGTTAGTTAATACCTGATGATAACAACACACTGTATGATTGTTTACTGTGAAAAATAACATGACAACATGTCAACAGAGAGAACTTGATGTAATTACACTTAGAGAGGACTCAGTTGCTTATATCTTAAAAACGCTATAATTTACAGTTTCAAACGTTACTGTTGACAAACGTAGTAGCCATGTTGGATTTTATCTCGGGGCGTTCCTGATGCATATCAGACCAGCAACTCGGAATTTCCGACTTCCGAGATAATGTGGACGGACCAATATTCAGTCAAACATTGAACATTTCCTCCTATTAAACTTAGAGAAAGAGCAGGTCTTAAAAAGAAGACGTCCCTGATCTCTATCAGCAGGTCGTTCCTTAACTCTGGGCCGAACAGAACGGGCTCGCTCACCTTTTGTTTTTTAGGTTAGACCGAGGAATAGTTAGTGTTGACCTACTGGAGAATCTCAGGTTACATGGGGGCGCGTGTGGGGGCGCGTATGGGGGTCAGGGGGTCAGCAATGTAATCTGGTTCTGACCTTCTACAAGCTTTAAAAGTGATCACCAGAGTTTTAAAATCAATTCTAAAACGGATAAGGAGAAAGTGATTTTAAAAAACGCTGTTCGACCCGGTTCTAAATCAGTCCGCGGCGATTTAGGATGAGCTGGAGTTTGTTTGGGTCGTGTTGTGTGAGACCAGAGTGCAGTGAATTCCAGAAATCTAACGTGAATGAAATTAGTTTTTGGATTACTGGAGCTGAACAGAATTTGCTGAGTACTTCTTGAAGCTGCTCTATGTTTTGCTATCCTGAATGTTTTTGTCGAAGCAAAGTTGCCTGGACTTGTTTACAAAGCTGTCAGTTGTCCTTTAACAAGATTTGGGATGTTTGTTCGGCGAGGCTAAAGTCATGCTGTTGAGTTAATTTCTACTTTGTTGTGAAAATATCCTCCTCTGGTCGGCTCAGATGAAATGTCTGGGCCATTCCAGGCGGACAGCTTGTGTCAGGGCAGGGAGGCGTTTGAAGTATTTATTCAGGCTGCTCTTCTGAATTTCTGCTGTAACAACCTCTGGTAGTTCATAGTACACCTCTCTGTACACAAGTAAAGCACACACTTACACACAGTTACACACACACCTGTCGTGTAGCCTTGTGCTGGTAACATGAGATTTCCCCTGCAGCTTGACAGAAGTCGTAAAGACGACAGGAAACAGCAGCAGTGAGCCTGGACAGAATCAAAACAAAATAATACAGTTTATTATTTATGTTATTTTAAACATTTTCATATCTACTTCAATAATATATGGACTCATGAATAAAACATATGAAATTAATAAATAAAGCTCCCTCCCATTGAGAAGTGTTTTAAGCTTGTTGCCCCGAGCGACTCTTTGACAGTTTTATGTCTACATTTGTAAACAAAAAAAGTTTAAGATGTTTGATTTATTTCTGTATCACAGTGAGTCCATGTCATATTTCAGTTTCTGCTGGTTGTTAGTTTTTACATTGTACTGCCCTGTTTGGAGTTGTTGTTGTTTCAGCTTTCATGTTGGAGAACCTGCTGCAGTGTTTACAGCACAACATGAGGATGAATGTAAAAGCTGTACTTTGTACAATCTGTCCAGTGATCAATGTTTTTAGTGAGCTGGTTGTCGGGCAAAGGCAATCAGAGCATTTGTCTTTCTGTCATTTCAAAGAGAGAAGAGAAGGGCAGGTAGACGAGTGCAAGACAACAGGTTTTCAGGAATGCTGCCTTTAAAGGAGCAATATGTATCTCTGACACCTAGTGTTTAAAATGGGTACTGCAGTCCTGATTCTAAACATCATAGAGAGCTGCCCCTCCCCCCCTCCTCTCTAGAGTGGATGCTCACTCAGGTCACCATGTGGTGGACTCTGAAGCTTCAGTGTTTATCCAGCTCTGCATGGGTCTGTAAACCTTTCTGTGTTCTAACCTCTCTCCATTTTTCAAAAGCATCTCCAATATTGATCCTAGTTTGAGCACGTTTCTGCTCGTGGAGCTTATTAGAAACATGCAGAGGCTTTTTAGGTCGGGTACAATCACTTCTATCTGAACCACTTCTCTTGACCGCTTCCATCGCTGCAACACCTGTTGACCTGATAACTGCTCTCATATCTGACAAACAGAGGGGCGTCCAAAACGGCCGTGTGGGGGGTCTTAAAAGCGCCTACCTTCTCTGGTCCAAACAAATCCAGAGCATTCAGGAGCAGAATCTAAAGTTAGAAGGAGGACATACTGGCTGCTGCATTGTTGTCAGAGAAGCCAGCACTTCAACATAGCATGTTTCCCTTTATCATTTAAACCACTACACATCTCACTGATTGGACCTTTAAGAAAGTTCACCCTACAGGCTACACAACAGTTCTCTAGCACATCTTGTTTATGTTAATTATATGAAAGCATTATATTGATTTATAACGAGCCTGTTGTCCTCTCTCTCCAGAGCCGATGCTTAGTGCCTTGCTGAGGAGGATGCCGGGTCTTGAGTCTGCAGAGATCCATCAGCTGGTCAACTGTCCGGAGTCCTTCACCCCTGACATGCGCTGCCTGATGGGGGAGACACCGGGCGTCTCTGGCTACTACGTTCTGGCGGGGATGAACTCTTCTGGCCTGTCCTTCGCTGGTGGAGCTGGCAAGTAAGTGTGGTCATTCAGTTTAATAACTCAAAATGTAATCAGGCCTGGGTTTGTTAATTTTAGTGGCCTGCTGTGTGATGTTTGTGTTAGGTACTTGGCAGAGTGGATGACGTATGGTTATCCCACCGCTAACGTGTGGCCACTGGACATTAAACGCTTTGGCAACCTGCAGAGCAGCCGGACCTTCCTGCGTCACAGAGTCATGGAGGTCATGCGTGAGTGGTCAACCGTTCCTACAGTTCACATGTACACGTTTAAATGTTATAAAGCATGACGCGTGTTTTGATGTCTGAAATCGTTCCTCTTGTCCAAACTGAAAAAAAAAAAAGGCACTTCAATGTTCAGATGATTTCTATATGAGAGGTTAGCGGCTTTGTATGGCGCACTCACCTAAGCCAGGTCACCCCATACCGTGCTCAAGCCTGTTGACCCCCCTCCCCCGTCCCCCGCTGGCCTGCACTCACACCGTTCCAGGACTAACCGGGCCTGAGCACGGTTACCTCTTCTACATTACGTCTTAAAACACATGCATGTCTTTACGATTACCAGACAGGCGGACTCAATTAGATTTCTCCATAATGGAGGAGGGGATCGATTAAAGGCTACTTCACGTTGTGTACTTGTACTGGTACTCGTGCATGAACTGTACCGTGCTGAAGCACACCTCTTCCAACAGTGACAGAGCCAAGGAGCTGAGCACTCACACTAGCCACGCTTATCCAGAGGCTTTTAAGTAACAAACCACCTCTTTGTTTTACCTCAGTGAGAGCGGATATCTTCTACCATCGATCTGTCTAAAGCTGTTTACACACTTGCACAAAACTCTTCACTCATAGTCTGACCTGTGGGTGACCGGAGTGATCTCCTGAGAGCCCCCTTCACTTGTCTCCCTTTGTGAGGTGCATGTCTGAGAGGGTTTCAGGACCGGTCTGCCTGAAGCTTTCAAAGTGCATGTGTGATAAAGGTCTCAGTGTCCTAAAGACATGGAGTGTTTCTTAGTTTCAGTTTTGGTATAACTCATGTGTGTGTGTGTGTGTGTGTGGTTTGTGTTAGCTCTGCTGTACGAACTGAAGGTTCCTCGATGGGACTTTCAGACGGGTCGTCAGCTGCGGACCAGCCCTCTGTACGACCGCCTGGACACCCAGGGAGCTCGCTGGATGGAGAAACATGGCTTTGAAAGACCAAAGTACTTTGTACCTCCAGGGAAAGGTACAGATTACTGACTTCCTCATTATCTCATTATTTAAAATGAAGTAGGAACATTTTAGTTTTTTATGGAAGTAAATGTCACTGAAACTCGTTCTGCTTGATGATGCTGATGTCACGTGTCAAAGACACAGTGAGAATTATAAGAACAGTGAATAAAAATGTATTTCTTAATCTAGTCATTATGGCAATAAGGCTTTTTGTTGTGTGTTTTTGTAAGAAAAGTCTACAGAAGATTTATCTCTTAAGCTATTCTGGTTAAATACATTTAAACAAGATTAAAGGGCAGTAAACATTTTACTTTGTTGTTCACAACCTAAGCTAAGACGTTGTTTGTTTGAACGTAGCTTACTGAGCGTTGTGGGTTTCTGTGTGATGGTTGTATGTTATTCTCAGTGCGAGACATGATCTGACCTGTTTGCTCTTGTCTGCTTGTGTTTGGGATCAGACCTGCTGTCTCTGGACCAGAGTAAGACCTTCTACAAGCCTGACTGGTTTGACATCGTCGGGGCCGAAGTGAAATGCTGCAAAGAGGCCGTCTGCGTCATCGACATGTCCTCCTTCACAAAGTTTGAACTGACTGTAAGTTAACTTTGTGAACTGCAGGCCCTAAATCAGCGAGTATTTATTCTATCTGAGTGATTTTAAGTCAAACTTCTGTCCTGATGTCTCAGTCCACGCAGGACCAGGCCCTGGACCTGCTACAACATCTTTGTGCCAACGACCTGGATGTCCCCGTCGGACACATCGTCCACACCGGCATGCTGAATGAGAGGGGGGGCTATGAGAACGACTGCAGCGTGGTTCGCGTCAGTAAAAACAGGTTTGTAACCCCTGGACAACATCACACACATGATGTCAATTTAAAAAAAAAAAAACCTCACACTCTGTCCTCTCTGCAGCTTCTTCATCGTCTCTCCTACAGACCAGCAGGTCCACTGTTGGTCCTGGATAAAGAAACACATGCCCAATGACCCACACCTGCACCTAGAGGACGTCAGCTGGAAGTACACCGGTGAGTTTAAGTCCAGGGTTCTGTGGAGATGTCGCCCTCTAGTGGCCACTTCACATTACAGCAATGCAGCAGAGTCCCCTCATACTCTCTGTGGCGGTTATTAGACCGGCCTGATTTTGGGTTTGGTATTTAAGGATTATGACTCGAGGGGGACCGAGATGACGGTTAATTACATGTTCAGAATATAATTTGTATGTTTTTAATTTAAAGACCAAAACTCTCAGAAATCTGATCAACACCGGGCCTATATTGGTTTTGTGCAGTGGTGGACAGGAAGGAAGTAAATTTACTTGATGTTTTGGGAATCTATTCTTTACTTGAGTATACTTTTTGGGTTAATGTATGACTTTGGACTCGTCTACATTTCTATGAATGTTCTCGTTACTCACTTCTTTTGCTCTGAAGTCAGCTGATGAATTTTCTTTTCTAAAAATCCGACTTGAAAGACGATTAATTGTGTTTGTGGAGTTCTGCTTGTAGTTTGTCTAAGTGGTGTTGCCGTACCTGTATGATGCACGCCTCCACGGTTGAACATAGAGCACACTTCACTCCGATCAGGAGGTTTGTTTAGTGGAATAGAGAAGGTGTCACAGAGACCCTTTTCTCTTTACGTGTTTTACTTCATGTTGGGTGCTCCTACAGAAAAGTGAACAAAGCAAAGAGCGCTTCAGCTGCAGGATTCAGAAAAGATGCACAGTTACAGAGTTCAAGAGGCCTTCAACGTTCATAAATGTTTTCTCTCTGTGTGAAGCCTGGCTGACATTTTCCCAGCAGCTCATCAGGTGTTTTTGGTTGCTCCTGTTATTATGTCTTTTTATTGGAGCTGCAGATCTGCAACATGTGAGCTTTAAAAAATGTAAATGTTTTCAAAACCAACCTAACGTAGCGGCATGAGAGATTAGAAAGTAGTTTGAATACTACTTAAAGTATTATTAAAAGTCATATTTGACCAGGAGGATCTTTACTCTGACATCCTGAATCTGTCCATCACTGGTTTAAGATTACAAGTTCTCTTTGTAAAGGTTTATTTTTATGTTAGAGATAGGACAGGAGAGAGGAGTTAGATGTGGGAAAGGAAGTTGGATCTGAATCCCGGGCCACCTGCTTCGAGGATTGCAGCCTCCGTACAGCGCTCCTAGATAACAAGTTTTTAACATGAATCAAGTTTCTTATCCAAAGCATCTTCCAGCTCAGATATTATTAACCATACTGATGTTAAATATTCTTTAATGGATGAATTTGTGCAGGAAAAAATGTGTTCAGATGACCTTTGTGAGTCTCATTGGTGCAGAGAGTATTCACATGACTCCACAAAGAAATGATCGTAATTAAACAATAAAGTTTAATCA